AGTCTCATTTTATAGATTCTTCATGATCTTCATTCAGTTAAAATTTGTCAGAGCCACACTTGACCACAAAGTAGATGCCATCAAAATGGTATAGTAACTTTTTCTGTAAATTCCAAAAGTAAGAAAAGTCTATAATATACTTGTTTCTCAAAGCAAATACCTTAGGCACATCTTTCACACAATGGCTCCTTGTTAAAGCAGGCTTTCATGTTGAGAAAGGCAGAGTACTTTTCTCAAGTAGTAGCCTAAAATACAGCTCCCAAATTAGTTAATTTCAGTCAGCATTTTTATTTTGCATGTTTCCCTGTCCATTTTCCCTAGTGACATCAACCACATTTTTACACATTCTTCATGATCTTTATTCAGTTAAAATCTGCCAGAGCCACACTTGACCACAAAGTAGATGCTATCAAAATGGTATAGTAACTTTTTTCTGTAAATTCCAAAAGTAAGAAAAGTCTATAATATACTTGTTTCTCAAAGCAGATACCTTAGGCATATCTTTCACACAATGGCTCCTTGTTAAAGCAGGCTTTCATATTGAGAAAAGCAGAGTACTTCTTCTCAAGTAGTAGCCTAAAATACAGCTCCCAAATTAGTTAATTTCAGTCAGCATTTTTATTTTGCATGTTTCCCTGTCCAATTTCCCTAGTGACATTAACCACATTTTCCCTTCTAATAACCCTCCCCTCCACCTCAGTGACAGGAAAACTTGTGGTCAGTGATAATGTACTCTTTCACATCCTCTGTTCTAATGACCAGAATCAAAGGCTTTCTAAGTCTCTGGTTATTTTATTTAATTTAATCTTATTATATATATAACTTCAAACCTAAGTTTCTAAGACCATTTAAAAAAAAACACTTAGATACCTGCCTCATTAGCAAGATAATTACTCAATGCCATAATTCCAGGCTGCTTAGATTCTGAAAAGGGTTGTGTGCTTCTAATCTGCTAATTTGTTTCTCTTAATGTTTTGGATTGTTTTTGTTATTTTATTTGTTTGTTTCTATTTGTCTGTCAAACTCATTTTGTTCATATGCTACTTTCCAAATTTCATTTACATTTTGAACATTAATCCTTATAGTTCATTGGCATTCATTAAGAGGATTTGTGTCCTCTGTTATCATAGGCTGAGTGTTCTTTATTACTGAAGTTTAATAAGCTCATTGTGTTCATAAATACCACTTCACCTCATTTATTCATTCACCAATAAGCATCCATGCAAGTTCCAATAAATATCTGTAATCTACCTCATTCCAAAGATACCCTCCTGTGTCTAGTAATCTCTGGGAAAGGAATAAGCTAATCTTTGCTTTGAATTGAAAAATAGATTTGACATAGCATATTTTAAAAGAATGATAAATAAATCAAGAAATGACTCCTTCATAAAGCCAATAGAATATATATTCATAGCTGACATTTCACTATTTTACATTATGCAGGGATTTATTGTAACTAGTTTTATGATTTTTTATCACAACATCAACACAACTGAAGATGTGATCTTTTTGTAATTCCTATTATGTGAAAATGAATAAATTGGTGAAATAGCTTAGTTCCATACTTTTTGTAAAATATGTATAGATGTTGTTGAACTCATCTATAAAGTCCTACATGTAAGAACTAAACTGGAAACTCAAGTACATAATCTCAGTAAGTATTGAAATGACTTGGTGATGATGCAAAATTTTAAACATGACTTGGGTGTAACTAGAGTTTTCCTGCCTTGCCCACATTCAGGACAAATCTTGGTCACTCTCCAGTCCCATAGCCGCTCAGACCCAACCAAGTAAACACTGAGACTTATATTGCTTACAAACTGTAGGGCCGTGACAGGGTTCTTGCTAACTGATCTTATATCTTAAATTAATCCATTTCTATAAATCTATACCTTGCCATGGGGCTCATGGCTTACCGGTATCTTCATATGCTGCTTGCCATGGCGGCGGCTGGCAGTGACTCCTTTACTTAGGCTTCCACTTCCCAGAATTCTACTCTCCTTGTCCTTCCTACTTCCTGCCTGGCCACTGACCAATCAGTGTTTTATTTATTGACCAATCAGAGCAATTTAACATACAGAGCTACAGACCATCTCACAGCACTTGGGTGTCTATGAATTTTTCTCAATGGAAGAGCTCACACTTGGCATCAATGTCTTTCTGATCTTGATCTTGAGCACTGAAGACAAAACACAGCAATAATAAATTATTTTTGTTAAGTGATTTGGGGAACTCTCAGGATAGATAATACCTTAGATACTTTGGTGCATTCCATCATAAAAAAAATGATAAATTAATAAGGAATACTGGGAATAGGATCTGTGGAAGCCACCATTAAGGATGGAGGAACAATGAGAAAAGGAAGCTGCTCAATAGATTTCCCTTAAGATATGAAGTTTATTGGCAGTTGGGGTTCAATGTTGGCTCAAGCACAGAAGTACAGACCCTACAGAGAAGTGCATGCATTTCTTAAATGCCAAGTCTCTAAGAAACAAAAGATACATCCTGGTCTATCATGTGAACACCATCATGTCTTTTTATATCTGTGTCTTTGCCTTTGAGAAGAGATTGAAAAAGCCTTTACCTTGTCATAGCCAAGTATATTATGCTAGTGAAGTATGCAAAATTTCTGGTGTCTTATCTGTTGGTAGGTGTGATAAAAAGATAGCACCTCAAATGATCGAGGGGTACTTTGATAAATTATAACAGATTAATGGTGATTTCAGGGTATATGAAAATTAATTTTTTGTTGTGTCCTTTTAGAATTGAAGGTTTGAAACCCCCAGAAATTGATAATCCCTGTAAAACAACAAGTGTAAAGGAATGACATAGAAGCCTTTCTGTCAAGATGACGTAAGTTGAAATTTCTTTATGCTGGTATCCTCATTTTTCCTTAATATCTTTGTTAATATATCTGCAGCATCTATAAATGATAAATTGTGTGATGGTTCTTGCATCACAAATTACTAGGAAAACTAGAAATAAATCTTAAACATCCAGGGGACTCTCCACAGTAGAGGAGATAAAATAATTGTATTCTTTTTGATAGGCTGTCATTGGATATTGTTAATGACTGGGTGAACTTTTAGCTATTTGTGGAGGCAGAACTCATCTACCTTTTGCCATAGAGGAAGACCACACACAATAGCCATAATATTTATCCCAGACTTCTCTCTCTTTCAGTTAATAGAAACGATTGTTAGGGAGGATGTTATATGTATTTTATAGCTTGCTGACCTCTATGCTATCTTGGCTAAAGGCCACACTAGATTCTATGCCCTTTAACTATAGAACCCACCCTCATGGTCACGGGGACTTTGTAAAGGAATTTCTATTAATCACACTTTAAGCTTTATTGTGCACCTGGAATTGGAAATTTTGTGGCTGGAAGCTTCTTCCCAAATTTTACCTTGTTTTAATTATGTTGACAATGACCTTCCTGAGTGTGATCCAGGTTGACAAAATCAATCTGAACCAAGATTTCATTTTCAACTCTGCAGATAACTGCCTGCAATGACACTTTTAATATCCTCCTCAATAAAGGTACATTTTACAATTGCTTTGAAACATTTATTAATTTTAAAATTCTCCTAAATGGAGATTATTCAACATGTATTTCCCTATATAGGCTTGCTGTTTGAGTTTTGAATGTATATAGAGATAGTGGTAATTATAATCTAAAATGTTCTTTTATCTGTAGAAAATTTAAGCATGCACCCATTCTTAATTATTTTAACTTGCTGAAAATTGTATCTACAGACTTAACTATGTTTCTCATTTGAATTATGTTGCAATTTATCATGCACTGCTTGATTTCTAATCCTATGGACTCAGTCATGAATAATCTCTCTTCATCAATGTAACTGGAGAGAAGACATAACATTTCCATTTAGTGTCTTTGTCTTTGGTCTTGTGAAGTAGCTTGACATTGAATTCCAAGGATCTCATGAGTGCCTTTTCATTTCATATTATGCAATTCTAAGACTCAATGAAATTCCCAAAAGAGAATCCTTGAAAAGATAGTACAAAGTGTTGAAAGTTTCAGGAGACAAGTGCTGTGGGATGGTCTGTATGTCAAATTGCTCTGATTGGTCAATAAATAAAACACTGATTGGCCAGTGGCCAGGCAGGAAGTATAGGTGGGACTAACAGAGAGGAGAATAGAGAGAACATGAAGATGGGAGGAGACACTGCAAGTGGCCACCATGACAAGCAGCATGTGAAGATGGCGGTAAGCCATGAACCATGTGGCAAGGTATAGATTAATAGAAATGGGTTAATTTAAGATATAAGAACAGTTAACAAGAAGCCTGACATGGCCATACAGTTTGTAAGCAATATAAGTCTCTTTGATTACTTGGTTGGTCTGAGCAGCTGTGGGACTGCTGGGTGACAGATTTGTCCTGACTATGGGCCAGGCAGGAAAACTCTAGCTACCAACAAGGATTACAATGTCACAGTCAGTAAGTTTCATCTTGAGGACCATCTCAAATCTTTCTAGATTAATTTTTCTGGTAGCAAGCATGAGAATATAATCATTCCTAGACTCTGACTAAATCTAAACTGTTTGTATTTGAAAAAATCTTGGTAGTCCTGATGCCACCACAGTTATATCTGTTTGAGGTTAGCTCTAGGTTTAACAGGTTCTCTATGTATCTACCTAGGGCCGAAGCAATGACAACATGATGAGATGAGGGATTGGAATTCTCTACTTGTTCTGCCTCCTCTTTGATATCTGAGTAGTCATGATAGCAAGTGACAGCAATGATTACAGATTTTTATATTTCTGGTGATTAATTTACTCTATTTGACTTTTAATATTCTAATTGGGGAAATAACACTCTACATCCTGATAGCACGAACAGTAATTTCTGTGAACTCAGCTATATAGGCATTCCTATCATGTACTTGACAAATGTAATAGAAACTGTGGCAGTAATTTTTTGTGGTCTTATAATGTCACAATATATTTTTGTGTTTACAGATTATCTTAAAGAAGAATGGGTTTGGAAAATGGTTCTTTGGTGACTGAATTCATCCTACAGGGATTAACAAATGACCCTGATCTCCAGTTACTCCTGTTCTTACTCTTTCTGCTAATATATACAACCACAGCACTGGGGAATGCAGCTTTGATCATTTT